ATTGCTATGTCGGGGGCGAAGATGGTCTTTACTTATGGGGCAGAAGAATTTGCCATACTGCAAAAAATCATTGCTGGGAATCGACGAAGTGTGTCGTGCAATCTTTACGATATAAAAAGAATAGGCTTTCAGGAGAATGGCTTTTGCGGTTTCTTGCTGAGCACGCGTGTGACGCGGATGTTGATATGGCTGAGGCGGGAGGTGTTGGAAAAGACACGCTGTGTAATACTTTTCACACATTTTCGTGTGATAAAATGCCCGGTGTGATTCCCTTGATTTATCACTCCTGGGGGAGTGATAAATTTTTATCACAAATATTGTGTGATACTTATCGCAAAATAATGCGATAATTCTGGATTTATTGCAAAACAGTGTGATGCGCATTGCACAAAACTGTGATACCTCGAAGTATCGCTCAAATAAGTGATTGTTATCACAAATGTAAGCAATGAATTTAATCTTGTACTTTTTTTGCGATGATCATCACAACATCGTGCGATTTATCTGTATCACAGAAAATGTGCAGTCAGTATCACAAGTGATTTACAGTGTGTAAGTTTAGGTTTCCTCGCAGGTTTCACAACAGTCTATTAAAGTTGGCATGCGATAGTCATTGATCACACGTTCATGTTTCAGTCACCCTAAAGGCACAGTCGGGAGTCGAAAATGAAGGAATGGAAGGTGACACTTCGAGCGACCACCCGTATGCGAGGCAGAAAGAGAAGAAATTAAGGTCAAAGAGAAGGAATGAACCAGCCAGTAGCTCGGAATCATCAGACGATGAGCTATTTGTGACCGGGTTGGGTGACTTGCGGTCCAACCAGAAAGATTCGCTGAGTCCTAATGGGGGTGCCGATGTTGTGGAGAACGTCAGTGACTCGGCATCGTACGGTTTTGAGCGGTGTCTTGACTTGGACTCTGCAGCCATTGAAGATGACACCCACGTACTACTACTCCCTGGTAGTCCGTTGAAAAGAAACAACGGACAAAGTCCACGTAAGTCGCCTGAGAAGCGTAATGTGCAGAAGGCGACTGAAAAGCGGGGTGTCTACGCCAGAGAAAGGGGCAGCCAGGGCTACACCAGAGAAAGGGACAGCCAGGGCTACACCAGGGAAGGCGACAGCCAGCGCTACACCAGAGAAATGCTGAAACGGGTGGGAGAGACGGGGTGCCATGTTGCGTAATTTCAGACCAAGGTTCTAATTTAATTTTTTCCAGTGTAGCCCGCCGTTGTGCTATACTCGGCGTCCGCCGCCTACACTTTCTAACATATACCCCTCATTTACACAGTGTTTTGGAACGGCAACATTCCACGCTTCATATATTGATTGCAAAGCTAATTAATCCCCAACAATCGGACTGGCATCTCAAATGTTTTATTGCCGCATTCGTTGTGAATTCACACATTCATACTGCTTTGAACGAAACTCCACTATTTTTGGCCACAATGTCTGAAATTGTCTGCCCCGACGTCTTCCGGTCTGTCTACCCTGCAACTAACGCTTCCTCTCATGATCCTATGAGTGCCCCACCTTTACCGTCACATTTATTACGCCGCACACGCCGTGACGTCATTCAGTCAGACGAATTCGACCAGGCAGTGCAATGGCTTGAAACGGATATTCAGACACTCTTCGAAAAATCCCAAGCCACTTTCACCGTGCTGACCTCGGTGTGGCACTCGGTCAACACATCGCCGCCCAATTTCGCAACCTGTCTAACACTTTCGATACTGTCGTTGCTAATACTGAACGCGAACTTTCTGTGCTGCATGAACTGCTCAATGACCTTCTCCAAACCAGACGCAAGCGCTCTCACCGCCACCGGCGCAGTGTCCTTGATTTTGTCGGCAACTTCCTCGGTGACGTGCTTGGGCTTATGTCGGCTAGGGACCGTAAAAAGGTAAATGCACAGGTGGAAGAACTAACAAAGCATGACCAAATTCTCACTAGACTAGGTACCGAACAAACGTCAGTGCTTAACTTAACCATAACAGCAGTAAAGAAACATGACATAATTTTAAAGCGATTAGTACAGTTAGCCGATGTCGATTTGAAATCGCAAATTTCGGATGCTATAGGGTTTGCCTCATCCATGCGCTCGATGCACACTGGCTTAGTTTTAGGTGCAATGGCATTTGCTTGGATGGCGGTGAGGTGCAATATTCGGATTTGGAATCGTATATTAGACGCCTTGCGGGGAGAGCTGTCGCGTTCATGGCGAGGAAAAGTGCAAAACGTGCGAATAAATGTTAAACGCAAAAGTAAAATACATTGAAAAGGAGTTTAATGCACCCAGGGAGGAGGAGGGGAGTCGAAACGGCCTAGTCTGGGCGCGCCCTATGCTGGCACGGACTGGCTACCCCCTCTACCTCGCCCGTGCGGCTCGTCCGGCAGCGGCCGGGCGGCAGCGGCCGGGCGGCAGCGAGCGGGAGTGGGGGTCAGCTCGAGCCGGCGCGAGGAGGGCGAGGCGCAGGGCGTCGTAACGTAACGCATATAGAAACGCTTAAAAACGAAAATAATTTTTCAACTTTTTAAGCGTTATGAAAGCGTTTTTAGCTTCCTGCAAGCGTTTTGCATACAACGACGCGTTTCTGAAGCTGAAAACGTTTTAAAAACACTTGCAAATGTGAAAATTAATTTTCGTTTTTGAGCGTTTCTATATGCGTTACGTTACGACGCCCTGGCGAGGCGGCGCCGAGTGTTAGGAAAATCGTCGCCAGTTGAACGCCTTGGATTCGTGATTTGGAAATTGTCGCCTATTCCGTTCAGCGTTTTATGCTGATTCGAACGATACTAGACACATTCGTTCAAGAGGTCTAGTGACGGCGTCTATAGGCCTCCAACACGGTGGCGCTGGGCAGCATTATGTTGGAGGCCTATAGACTTTGCCACTAGACCTTTTGAACGTATGCGTTTAGTATCTTTCCCCCCCATATACGAGCCAAAAGACAATACGCTAACTCTGCTGGTTGGCCACTTCTTATAGACGCGCTGAACTGCGCTTAAATGCGCTCTTGCTCCGCAATCAACAATACAAACCTGAAGACATTTTCCCAAAAAGATATCATCAATTGCTCAATCTTACGAGCCCCACCAGTAGCTCAAACTCCTTCTCTGCTATTTCCTCTCTTTCGCGTCTCTCCTAGTCTCTCTGCCTCACGCCCTGTCGATGACGAAGGCAATGCTGCCCTTCCATCCCGACCTATTTCGCTTGCGAATCCAGGCTTTGGTAGCATACCCACTGTCGCGCCGGACGCTGCTCTTCCTGCGACAGCCTAGAAAAACCCTTTCGATTTCGACAATCTGCGCGGTGATGACCTTGGGTTAGATCTGCCAGATTTTGCTAATGTTTCGTTTCTCGCCTCTGACTTAGCGACTCAAGCGGTCAACCCGTCTGACGCTCGTGCTTCTCTTCCCCGTTTCGACCTGGGAGGCTTCACATGGTACGTGGACCAAGGACATTCCTACTTGTGGCTAAATGGGTCTTACAACATTCCCAGCACTGCGTTGGCTGAAATAATGTGTCCTACGGGTTTTCGCGCCATGTATGTCATGTCTGCAAGGACTAAACGCAGCAACATGTGGAAAATATGTTACAACTTATATTTTATTTCGTAGTATAGGCTTTACTTTAAGAATGTATACACAGTTATTATTAAGAAATCGTCTGACCACTGACCAAGCTGTACGTAAATTGTATCGATCACATTTTGGTAAACACAGAAAAAGAGTGGGCCAGTCTTGTAAGAGTATAAATACAATGCGTAACCTGTTTCTGTGATCATTTAAAATGGCTCTTGTAGTGGACTTTGTAGCTTTTGAAGACCACGAAAATAAAAGTTTAATAAAAGAGCTGGCAATCGCAAGCGTTGATACCGAAGCTGTGGTTCATTTTATCTTTCAATGTCCTATGAGCTGGGACGATTTACCAGAGCATTGTAAAAACACAAACATTGAACGTATAAACAACGAACATGGCATAAGTTGGGACGATGTTTTTGATTGGTCATCTATTCACCAAGGAACCCCGTCTTCGAGCTCCGCTTAATCCACCCTATACCTCCTGCTGGAGGCAGCGAGTGCAAACATACTCTTGCGGATATTTTATAAAATTAATGACTGATTCTATTAGTAATTTATTAGCTAAGGGGTATTATTCAAGGGAAGTAAAGACTTGTCGCTCTAATATTAGAAGTTTAATTTTAAGATTTTCTAAAAAGTACCTCATGAAATTGATAACTATGGCGGTGTGTATTTGTAATAAAAACTGTATTTGTAAAAACTGTAAATTAATACGTGGATATGTAAACTTGGTAACAATTTTCTACCTAGAGTCCCTTTTTCTATGTTTCCAGCCATGCGATTCTTGGTGAGACCAGAATCCTTGCGGGCAGACGAGGCGGACACGCTACCACGATGGGCAATGTTCACAAACGCCGATGGTCGGCTCTGTTTTGAACCGAGTCGATATATCTCTCATCACTCTCCATAAGAGGCTTCGTGCGTGCTTGCAAAGGGACGGAGAGAGCGTACAGGCCTTTCTGGCCCGCGTACGGCTCGCGGCTAAGGCCATCAGTGACAAGCAGGGTCCAGCAGGCACCCCGGAGCAAAACCTCTTTAAAAAGGAAAATATGGAGAGTCAAGGATTAGTCAATTCTTGTACGGGCTGCAGAGTAACATTTGTCGCTTTACTGCAGCTAGAAATCCAGCAACAGTGGACCAGGCATTAGAATTTGCCCAGGAAGAAAGTTTAGCTTCGGTGGATGAAGCTAATTACCGCAGGGAGGGCGCAGGACGCGTTGCAGGCGCCTTGGAGGTAGGCAACCCGCCACCCGTAGCAGCCGTCGGCCAAGGTCCATCAGCATTCCAGCAAGCAGGTCCATCCAGAGGTAATGTCTGCTTCACTTGCAATAGACCTGGACATTGGTCTAATTCCTGCCCTCAGCGAAGGTTGGCTCGTGTCACCCCTTGGCTCCGCCTTAATCAGCGCGGCCAGGCTCGTGGTATTGGTGCAGGTCGCGGGTCCGGGCGTGGCAGCCGTGGAGGCGGCCAGGCAGGAACCGGTTGGCGTGGTAGGCCCATTCAAACTCGTTTTCGGAGTCGCAGCCTGTCGCCCGGTCTCAGTAGGAGATTTGCTGCGGCGTGCTCCTGCTCCAACATGCAGGCGCCCCCTCCCAGAGGCCGTACCTACAGACCCGCCAGAGGTCGCGGCCGGTATTAAGTACTCTTGAGACTATGGAAGGGCGGGGAGTCGGTAACCTGGTCGTTTTTACGACAGGTAACCGTAAGTTAGTGTTTCTCGCTGATAGTGGGGCAGCAGTAAATTTGCTGCTAAGTTCTAGTGCTAGAACTTTCGTACCTGAAATTATAGATAATTTGAGAGCAATTAATTCCACTCCCATTCCAGTGGTAGGGAGGACTGAGTTAGAATTGTGCCATAAAGATGTTTGTTTTCCGATGTCGTTTCTTGTGTCCGCGACAGATTTCGCGGTGGGTGCGGATGGTATTATTGGATTAGAGGGGCTGAATCAGTACGGTTTTGTACTGGAGATTCAGAATCAGCGCTTGGAATCGAAGCAGCTAAAAATTAAGACGAAACTAATTCAAACTAAGAGCGCGCAGAGTAGATGCCAATTAGATGGTACCTCTTGGGACCCGAGTATTAGGGCGCTCGTTAATGGAAGCGGTGCCGGTCCAGCCGCCCCTCTCAATATCTACGTAGATAAATTTCCCGGCAGTCCAGTGAAAGGTAGGCCCAGTGTTGTGTGAGTAAAAGTGTGTGAATAAAAGTGTTATGACAATCCATGTGTGTCGGACCTCCCAATCCCCGGATGAATACGCCTCAATGAGAAAATAGTACAAAGGAGGACCACATATTTGCCCTCTTGCAGTGTCTCTCGAGTGTCTCCCCTCGGTCGATGCGGTACAGCCTAGAGAGGCTTCTTTCCGAGTCGCTGCAGTTAGCGATGCGAGTGTGCAATCTCCATCAGATATGGAGGGTGCCCAGGCCTCGCTGCATCCGGAGCAGCAGGCCAATGATATATCACAACGGACCTGTTTTCTAACTACGAGAGTGAAAAATAATTCATTGCCGTCAACCCTGCAACAAAGGCGCACCTGCTTCTCACCGCCAGTGACCTCCGCGGCTGCCTCGCCGATACAGAATTACACATCTGTCATCGGCCGTCGAGGCCATCACAGACCAAAAATCTTGCGCCTACGCCCTACTGGTCTCCAGCGTCGAGGATGTGCAGCGGCAATGCACGCCGATGTACACCCTGCATCCTCGGGCCCGGTATCTCAGTTTCCGTCACGGGCGCGACTGGGTATTCTCCCTGCCACGCCCTGCCAAACTGACCGTTACAGGACTTACCGGAGCACCCTACATCCTTCCTGCAGAGATGTCCAGCTTGCCCCGCACAGGCATTCTTCGCCTCCCTGCTGGAGCGGCTGCGGCGATCGACGGTGCCCTCCTCCTGGCTGGCAGCAACTTCGCGTCTCAAGCCCTCGAGACCGACGCCGTCATTCTACCACACGTTCCGGCCATCGAACTTCATAAAAACCTGCTGCCCATCGCCCTGTCCCCGGAAGGTCAAGCCGTCCTGCAGGACGCCCTCCGGGACACCAAACAACAGCATCGAACAGGCAGGTGCGTCCCTCACCAGGGTTAACCAAATCGCCCAGCAAGCCGAGACGCATATGGCCGTTTTGTACAGGGCCGTTCAAACACCGTGGGGTATTTCAATAACAAATGCAATCGTAATAATTTGGGGTATAATAAGACTCGTTGGCACGTTTCGGGACCCGAACATTTTCCGCATGCAACCACACCTTGATTACTCAATATTTTATTGGCGTAATTCTCCTTTCTTACAGGGGATGCTCCGGTGTCGGTACTTAAACACAGCGAAATGCGATCAACGGACGCGCCAACGGAATTCGTAATTGCATTCGGAATTAATGCTAATAAAACGATATGTGAGGCTGCGTCTGTGCAATTAGAAATTAAGTACAAGTATCTTACGATAATTAAGAAGGGCGAGGAAGTTGACTTTTATGACGACATAATTACGCGAATTCCGGTAATCCCGGACTAGGGCTTATTTGCGGAAACGGACCACACTCTTAGCCCCATTTTCGTGGAACCACACTAATTATTAAAAATTCTGGGCACGTTGGCCGAGCACGTCCCCGCAGGTTTGGCACTCCCTATTCCCGCGAAGGTAGAAAATTTGCCATATTATTATAATTCTATAAAGGTCTCTCCACAACTTGTTAACATGACTGTTTACTTACATATTCATATTCCCCTTGTGCATGACGCGCGGTCCTTTGTTGTTTACAAGGCGATAAGTTGGCCATTCAAACCCAACATTACGTCCGATCTGTTCACCTACTATCAGACAGAGAAACCGTATCTGGCCGTCAACCCAGCCACGCGGGCACACATGCTGCTGTCCGCCGACGACCTGCACGGGTGCCTTGCCGACAAGGCCCTCCACATCTGTCACCTGGCCGTGGAGGTAATCACGGATCAGCAATCGTGTGCATACGCCCTGCTGACGTCATCGGTCCGATTTTCAGGAATTCAAGAGGATCCTGGTTGCACGTTTTCACCCTGTTGAGTCTCTTATCACTCTCCACAAGAGGCTACGCGCGTGCTTGTAGAAGAACGGCGAGAGCGCGCAGGCCTTTTTGGCCCGGGTACGGTTCGCGGCTAAGGCCACTCTGTCAATTCAAATGTGTACATGGTACACAGTAAAGAAAGTGTACATGGCATGTATGCTTTAATGTGTACATGGCTATGTACACATTAATTAAAGCATACATGCCATGTACACTTTCTTTAATGTGTACTATGTACACATTTGAGTTGACAAAGCATAAGTGATGAGCAGGGTCCGGCAGGCACCGCTCGCTGGCTGAATGGGATATCGTAATTAAAATGCCATCAATCAAAAAATTCACAGATCCGTTGCAGAAAATAAGAGCTGCTGCCCTCGGTGCACAGCGGGTTGTCTCATCGACAACACATAAAAAAAGAACTTGAGATTTTAATTGACGCAACGGCAGCTACGGAAAAACAGATCCACGATTTCCACATTGCAGCAGCAGCAGAGCGTAGGCGGCGTGCAACGCCACGGTTCCAGCCGTGTACAAACATGACTACCTGTACGGACGCCACAATTTTCGTCCCAATATACCAGACGCAAGACGAAACATTGACGAGTTTACATTCTCTACGGTGGCTACTTATTATCGACGTGCCGAATTACGACTAGCTTAAACCCTGCTGAAAAACAAAGAATACAAACCACAAGACATATTTCCGAAACGTTGGGCTCAACTTTTTAACAAAACGAGTGCCTCCAGATACTAATGTCTCTCTCCCTCTCGCTCGCCGTCTCTCTCTCCCCTTCCCCCTTACGTCACCACTCACGGAAGGTGGGTGACCAGCCGCGTTCGGATATCCCCCGTCGCGCCCCCACCTCTACGGCGGCCCCTCTGTATCCAGACCTCAGCCCCATCCCCACCGCGGACCCCGCTTCTATTCAATCTGTCCCTGAATACGTTAATCCTTTCGATTTTCTCCAAAGAGACGATTTAAATGTAGACCGTCCCAATTATGACGCTAGTATTATACGCCATCTGGTCCGTTCGATGACCAATACGGAGCAAAACGAACTGGATGCACGCGCTTTGGCTCCCCGTTTTACCCTCGGTGGATTTGAATGGTATGTCCTCGACAATCGGGCATACCTCTGGTTAAATCACTCTTGCTACGGTATTCCAAGCACAGAACTAGCGGAAATTTTCTCTCCCTCCGTTTTCCGCTCCGTGTATGCTCACACGATACAATCTCCGTATGAACCAATGTCTGCCCCGCCAATCCCCATTCATCTGCGCAGCTCTCTCTCTTCAAGAGAACTCGTCGTAGTGCGGTCGATCCCTCTATCACGGAACGCCTCAATGATTTATCGGCGGCAATAGACATTCTGTTTGCATTGCATGACTACGCTTTTAACAGAGCAGATCTTGGCGTCGACTTGTCTGAAAATTTGGCCAACTATATTCAAAACGTAACTTTAAAAATTAATGTCATGGAAACTAACATAAATGATCAAATTTTAAATTTAAATCTCCTAACAGATGTTATTGACAACCCAATTCGCTTTGAACGCTCTGTTTCGCGCAAAAAGCGCGCCATTCTAAATTTTGTTTCTAACATTTTTTGGATGTTTTCGGTTTTATGGGGGCTAATAACAGAAAACGAGTAGATCAGCAAGTCCAACAAATGGTTGCGCATGAGAAAATACTAACCCGCCTGGGACAGGAACAAGCATCTTGGTTAAATTTAACCTTAACTGCAGTAGGACAGCATGATGTACTTAAAAAGCTTGTGGAACTGACAACGGTTAATATAACGGCTCAAATCTACACTCATCAATACCACCACGACAGACGACGACGATACCACCACGGGACAGCGGCAACAACAGGAAGAGGAGGAAGAGGAAGAGACGCCAACAACAAATGAAGACAGCAATGATGGAGACGATGGAGAGGACAGGGAAGATGATGATGACAGCGAAAAAAATTGTGACACGCCTACAGACTATGAGGAAGACGACGAAGAAGATGATTTCCCACCTGCAGACAATGAAGACGACCACGAAGATGATGATACAAGTGCTCAGAATGAAGACTTAAAAGAACATGATTCTACAGATGCTGACAACGTAAAAGAAGAAGATGGCCTTATAAGATCAACGCCACGGGTAACCATGACGTGTTCTCATTCTATAAACCCGACTCGGACTACATTGCTGTTAATAGGGATCTCTCGGTCCACCTGCTCATGTCAGAATCGGACGTGGCCAGGTGTCGGGACGACGAGCTGCGAATATGCTCACCGACGGCGGCGATTCACCAAGGAACCGATAGGTGCAGTATGGCGCTCATGATGTCTGACGAGAAGGTGATGTAATTGTGCACGCCTGGTCAACAGTAGTTTCTTTCTAGTTATG